GGTGGTGGGTTGTGTTGCATGCACGTTCACCCCAGCTCGTGCCTCTTTTTCTCACTGTAATCAAACACACTCGTATGAAGGCACACACGTCCTCGGATGGCAACCTTTCCTCCCATCTCTCCCTGCAAGAAGCCATTCGCGCAGACCCTCAGATCATCACCGGCTCCAAAAATTCCAAGTGTTCTGCAGCCCCGAATGGCGTCACCTGATTGGCTGAGGGCCTATCAATCATGCCTTTAGCCGCACCCCTCCCCCCATTCAACCACTCGCCTCTCTGTTCCAGTGTGTTTACTACACTGCCGAGCATAAGGGAGACACTCGTCTTCACATGCACTGAAACCCACTAAGAAAAACAGTTTTTAGTTGTACTTGTAAGAAAACCTCCAAGAGCTCAACATGCCCAAGAGAAAGGTACGTATATTAAAAATAACAAAAATAGTTTGGAGGGAATATCGGCTGTTAATGCAATGCAAACGATTGGGAAGACATCCCTCTGAGACATTACTTAATTATAACGCAATGTATAACGGTTATTTATCGCTGGTAATTTTTGCCTATTTTCTAGATATAAAATCCATTTTTTGTGTGTTAGAATGAATATTTTCCTGCTCGGACACGGCCTATAAAACGCGTTTTCTTCCGAGAGCCGCTGTCCTTTGGAGAGTCAGAAGTCTCTCTCGGTCTCCATGCAGTTAAAGCACAAGCAGCAGCCATGCTTTGCAGCTCTTGTCCACCTTCGTCGCCGACCTACCGAGAACAAACGCTTCACTTATCGCCATTTCGCCACCAAACCGGCCAAAAACGCCACTAAAAATTGCTTTAGTGCCTTTGCTTTGCATTTTGGCCACAAAAACAAACATTCGCCGTCGCGTTTCGATAAAATTGTATATTTTCTCTCTTTGTTCATAGTCCCAAATGGCTGCGATGGCGTGGCTCTGCCGCCGGGTGGCGCGCCTGAGAGTAGCAGGTCCCTCCCCCTTCTCAAAGACTCCCGCGCCAGCTTTCAAATCTGAGCTTCATGCATTGAATGAGAGAAAGAGATGGGGGAGTGAAAGGGAAAAGCAGGGCCTGGGCCCTCAAAATATGGCTCCAGAGGCCCACATGGCTGAGCTCTCACAGCCCATTACTGAGATCATGCACTGCCCCAACATTTCTGGGCTCTAATCCTTTAAAATTACCTGTATTTGAAATAAATTTTTGTTTTCGCATGAAACTAAAAAGTTTTTTCAGCAGGTCTGTAATTATTCATAATATGGGCCTGAAGCATTTAGCAACTGTTTACTGTTAATACAAACACTATTTAAACTCTTAATGATGTTATTTTTAATTTTTTCCATTTGAATTTGTTGTATTTGTGTTTTTCAGTCACAGGGAACAGAAGGAGGAGAACGGGAGGAGGTAAGAGTCGGGGCACGTTGAGTAACATCACATACATGTGATTAAAATGACATTTTAATCAGTATGTGGGACATGTGAGGGCATTATCAGGAAGAAAGTACATAAGTATTGAGTTCAAATGTGTGTTTCCTGAATACAGCCCCAATCAAAATAAAAGCCCCGTGATAACAGTCTTTGTTCTGTTTCAGCCCCAGAGGAGATCAGCTCGGTTATCAGCGGTAAGAGGATGCATATACAAACTCAACCAACTCATTTACATTGACAGATTCTGTTAAAAAACACGTAAAACATGTTAAAATGTTTAAAAGTAGTTACACACATGTAACTGATCAGAAAAAGCGACAATTTTCCTTCAGAGAAGCAAAAGCAAGTATAGAAGTATGTTTTTTTTATTAAATAAAGTACTTGCATTAGATTTGTAGCAATACAAAACTTCAAAACATGTAATTTTTTACATTATGGAGCCTAAGAAGTAGCTAATATTATTTAAATAGTGAATTATGTAGTAATTAAGTTGATAGACTTACCTTAAAGTTAATATAATGCCTTATTATACATATAAAACATGATTTAGAAAGAGTTTAGCGAGTAAAAAGTGCAGGGCTGGTACAAAACACACTAAATACCAATAGTGGGCATCATAGAGGCTCTCAAAGTTATGAGTATAGTGTAGTATCTTAATATTGTCTAAATTCCCTAATTAATCTAGTTAATGGCAGTATTTTTAATGCTATCAACACTCAGACAATGTCTGTTTTTAAAGGAGATTCCTTGTCAGGCACATTTTAGAGTTTATTTCTTAATTGGCCATTTAAAAAGTCTCTTATGGGAGCCGAAGTCTTCCGGTACCTTCAGAAAAACAAGAAAGATTGCAGATTAGCCAAGAAAGTACTATTGTATTCAAATGTAGCTGTTCCTTCATCCCTTTTCCCCTTTTTCTTTTCACAGAAACCGGCCCAACCCAAGCCGGAACCAAAGGCCAAGAAGGCAGCAAAGGTAAGAGATACTAGGGGCCCGATTCTGAACGAACATGCGCCACAAAGCGGGAGCGACGCGGTCAGGTGTGTGTATTCAGTCTGCTAACAGCCTGTTTTGCGCCGTCCGCAGAAAGACAAGGCTGTGAACGATAAGAAGGAGGACAAGAAGACCAAGAAGGCGAAGGAGAACGCAGAGGCAGAGGCAAACGAGGAAAACCACTCTGAGAACGGAGAGGCCAAGACCAACGAGGTTTGTAGACTCTATAAGTTCTTAACAGCAGAAGCCGGTTATTTTAGACGTCACGTGTAAAGAGTCAACTTGAAAACGGCTCAAAGTTTTGACCACGGCCCGTCTGCTTTGATCCACAGGTGGAGGCAGCCCCCGAGGAGGCCAAGGAGGAGGCCA